CAGCTTTGTTCAGCATCAAGAAAGAGCAGAGTGAAGACAGCTGATAGTGGAAGTAATCCAGGGTTGAGAATAAGAAGGCAAGGATCTCAAGAGAAGAGGATTATAGAGATGAATTGTTTGACCAAGGAATCAAGATGAGGAAGGGAGTAGAATGTAGCATGTGCCTACTGAAGAACCAAAGGGTCCAGTGATTGGAGAGCACTATGAGGATAAAGAACTGGGATTGGTGTTACAAGGTAGAGGGAAAGGTGGGATGACAATAGATTGTGATGGAGGAAAGAAGGGGAGAGTCCTATAGTTGGTAGACAATAACTACCAGAATTTTGATTGGGTGGTAGACATGGATTGTGTAGACCTCAAAGGGCAACTAGATGGCTCAGTGGATAGAGTGCTGGGCTTAGAGTCATGAAGATCTGAGTTCAGATTTGGCCTCAAACATGTATTAGCTGTGTGACCCTGGGCAAGTCACTTAATCTCCATTTGCCTTAATTCGCTGGAGAAGGAAATAGCAAACCATTCCAGTATCCTTGCCAAGAAAACTCCATGGACAGAATGGTCCACAGGATCACAAAGAGTTGGACAAGACTGAGTAACAAAACCTCTAAGGGCAGTGTGGTTACTGAATGATGATGGTTTCTTTGTGTTCTGAACATTATGATTTCTAGCTAGAGGAAGAGGGCTGGCTGAGGTTCCTGTTGTCTCCCAACTAGTAGTGAGGAGTAGACATCTATGCCCTCTGTTCCCACCAGCACAGAAAGGGTAGCTAGATGTGGGTGGCTATGTGGAGGTGGCAGCACCTCATGGCTCTTAACCACCCTAGATATGGAAAATATACTTCAGTGTACCTATAATCTCACTGATGCAAGCATTAATTCCCTTTGCTAAGAAGTTGTTGTCATGTCCTTCCACAAATCACAGGTATCTCAGATGTCTAGTTCACCCTTATTATATTTTATTACATTACATTATATTATAGATGACAAAAGTGAGGTCCAAGAAGTTACCTGACTTGTCCAGTCATACAGGTAGGAAGTGCTAGAGCTGGGATGCAAATCCATGTCCTCAATCCCCATCCTTAGGGGATCCACTCAACATGCTAGAGAAGGCTTCCTCTAATTTGTTTGGTTTTTATACCTTATGTTATCAGTATCCATCTATTATCCCCTGTCCTCACTAAATGATTAACTTATATCCTTTCCTGATAATGATGTCTCATTTCTGGCTCATAAATCATTATTAGCAATATGATATATTCCCACTGTCTTTTTTTTTTGCTTTTTGGTGAGACATTTGGGGTTAAGTAACTTGCCCAGGGTCACACAGCTAGTAAGTTGCTTGTCTTTTCATTGCCCTTTGGGGACCTACAATTTCCATTCTTCTAAGACTGCAGTTTTACATAATCTGCAGCTATAATATATTGCCAGAATACTGGTGTGAAAACATGGTCTTGGCAAAAGGGAGCCATTTGGAATCATTTAAAGTATTTATCTCCCAAATTTGACCCAATTCACTTACCTCTTCAGTTCTGGGTCTAGTTGGCTGCTCATCTACAATCTCTGTCCAAGATATAGTAGCTAGCATTTACATAGCACTTAAGGTTTACAAAGTGCTTTACAAACTCATTCTTATCACAGTGACCCTGGGAGGTAGGTACTATTATAATTCCCACTTTACAGACAAGGAAATCGAGGCAGGCTGAGGTTAAGTGACTTGCAGAAGGTCACACAATTATCAAGTATCTGAGGCTGGATTTGAACTCAGGTCTTCCTGACTCCAGGCCCAGCAACGGACTGCTTATCCAACTGCATATCAGAGTCTGGACAATATGTTTTCTTCTACTTCATTTTCCTGTGTGAATGGCTAGATTAGTTCATTTTGAGTGGCCATGAATCTAATCAAGGGGACATCATCAGTGTTCCAGGTCTCAGGATGGTTAGCATAATGACACCTGCAAGAGGAGCATCTGGAGAATAACTGATTTGCTCTTTATGCCAGGTCCCCTCCATGGCACACACCTTTGGCAATTATACATCTTCATTTTATACCTTCCCGGTGCTCATACTCAGAAGATCAATAAAGAAAATGTCTGTAGTTGTAGCAAAGAATCTCACATTTTTGTTTGGGGGATAAAAGCCTTTAAGCCTAAGTTTTGTTCTGTGAAGTCCAGGGCATTTTCACAATCAACCAAAAAGTCAGTGGAATCGTATTCACCATGACATCTCCATAACACTTGTGACTTTGAAAGTGTGGTCCGTCATATCACTTCCTGAATAGACTTCATGAGCAAACACTGGCATCAAGTATCTAAGAGGCGATGCCTTCCCTGCCGTTAGTGGCAATGCCTCCTCTTCTCCTTTGACCTTGCACATTAGATCTTTACCTTTTGCCACTTGGCATAGTGTGAATGATTTTGTATCATATCCTCCGACTGGATTCTGAATTCCAACAGCTAGCATTTTGGTAGCACTTCAAGGTTCATAAAGCACTTTACATATTTCATTTGAGCCTTACAACCTTGTGAGGTAAGTGCTATTACTTTACAGATAGGGAAACTGAAGCTGGGACCTTCATTCATTTACCTAGGATTCTGTAACAACTATCAGAAGCAGGATTTGAATCCAACTCTTCCCAATGCCAGTTCTCGCATCCAGTCCACTATACCACCCTTCCTCCTGAAGAAGGAACTCTAAGCAGGGAGACAGTTCATCTTGTTGAATCTTAATGTCTGTTGAATTTAACTTAAAGTGGCGGTCTTTGCGATCTGCATTGTTGTCTGGCTGGTGTTTGAGCCACCCCTTTAATGTACATGATTCAGGTAAGGCCAGAATTCATTTCCCTCCTGATAACACCACATCCCTGGCCATTACTTCCAGCACTAGTTGCATGTTTACTAATGTTCCTCAACACGCTGGTTGTGGCAGGAATCCAAATATCCCTTGTACCTTATTACTATTTCCAGGCCCTTCCACAATTACTAAGTAATCTCTACTCTTTTGAGGTTAATCAAGTTCAGATGTATTGCCCATTCAAGATTCTGGTAGCTGCCATCTAGCAAGCCCTGGGATACTCTTCTTCCTTTCTTAAAGAGGTCAGCGCCTGGCTCAGTCTTTCCACCCCAACTCCTGCCATCATACCAGTAGATTTCAACATACATATTGATAACTTCTTCAGATATCCTAACCTCCCAGTTCCTCGGCTTACTTCTCATAACCTACTTCTCCACTCCACCTGAGCTAACCAGAGATGGTCACATCCTTGATCTTGTCATTACTCACAAATGTTCCACTTCCATGTTCACGTACTACAAAACTGTTATGTGATCATCATCTTTCTCTTTGCGTAATCACCCCTGAGGGGAAAGGGAATGAGGATTTAGATAGTGTCTACTACCTTCCAGGCACCGTGTCAAGCCATTCACAAATATTATTTCACTTGACCTTGTCCTTCAGCAGAACTTCCAATCCCTCTGATCTTTCCCAGGCCATCACTACTGCTCTAGCTGTATCTCGTATCTCCTTCCTTCCTTGTCAGGTGATTAGTGAATCAGTTCAGTTCCAGCGTCTTGTACACCAACAGATCATGCCCTGCCAAGCTCCAACCTGGGATCATTCCCACCTTCTGCTGCTTTTGTTCCTGTTCACTTGCTGAATGAAGCTTTGGCTTCCCTAAATTCAAACTGCACTTTGTGCAAGAGATTTGCTAGTGCCTTGCCTCTGAGGTTACCTCTCTCCTCTATATCTTGTATGTACTTATTTACAGGCTGTCTCCCCCTTAAAATGAGATCTCTTTCAGGGTGAAGGCCCACATTTTGTTTGTCTTTGTACCCTTAGGTTACTGTGCCAAGCACATAGTAAGTGCTAGTTGATGATGATTTCAACAAGAACTTAACAAGCACAATTTATTTACCTTTACTATGTTCCTTTTCCTTAGTCTACATCTAAAAACCAAGGCCCACATGACATTCACATATAATACACCTGTGCTTTACAAGTGTGCTAGTGGCCCCGTGTAGTCCTTGTCGGAACTTAAACCAGGGATCTCCATTCAAAAAAGGTTTAAATGAAGTCCAGGGGTAGGGGGCTCCCCGTGGCCTTCCTGGGAAGCAGCAGCTGCTGTACTAGACCAGGCTGAAGCAATTAGAGAAAATGGTTTTGAAGGTGCTGTTATCATCTTGACTCCTGAGTTACCTTAACTCCACCCCTTTGGTGTTCATCCACCAACAAATACTTTCCAGTGGCTCCATCTGTCCATGCACTTTGATCTTTTGTGGGTAGGCACTTGCCCCACCTACATATGTGGGAAGACACCCCTTTCTAGAGTTATGTCCCATGCTGCTACTCTCTCTGACTTAACCAAGCACTGTTCCTTGCCAAGGCATCTTCTAGGCTGGTGGCTGACTCTGCGTCTTCACCCATTCTTTTGGAAGACCTAAGGCATTCTGTGGCATTTTACTTCCTAAGAATTGGGGCAGGGGGAGCTTCTGCTACACTGAATCAACTGTGTTGGCTCTGAATTAGCTACATAAACAGGACTCAACCTGGCTTCCTTACCAGCCAAAGAATCCTGTACTATGCTTGTAGCAGAAACATATTCTCCCCTTGTGTCTCCCACAGTGCCAAGTATAGGTATGGACAGAGTAGGTATTCAGTAAATCTTTGGCGTGTCATTTGCAGGGATAGGAACCCTAGGTCTAAATGTACTCCAAATAAGGTGCTTCATCCTGGCCAGAAAGAACAAGACTTAGCATAAGCTATAGGAAACAGGCCAGGGACTTGGGCCCTCTGACTAAAATCATTTCCCTCTGCAATGACATCTTAATGGGAGTTAGCTAGTTGTTAAGCTTCAACGTAATTAGAAATGGGGGGGAGGGGGAGAGAGAGAGAGCAAGAGTGACTTAAGAACCCTAGATTTTTAATGTAACTGTCATGCTTCTAACTTGGGGGTACTTCTAGGTCCCAGCCTGCCTATTTTGCCCACATCTGAAGAGCAGGGGAACTTCCTTGAAAACACTAGTTAGTCTGATCTTTATTTCAGTTTGAAAGTTACAAGGGAACTTACCATAATAACTGTGGAGAGCCTGGAGATAATCTAGCCCAAGATTTCTATGTACAAGCTCCCCCCCCCCCCCAGTGTTCATGCCAACATCCTGGCACCAAACCCTTCTTGCTCAGCACAGAAGCTTCAGGAATGAAGAGAGCTGGATTCTGTGGCTGTGGCCTGGGTCCTACTCCCACCTCCAAGGGAGAGTGGTAGCTGGTGCTGGCCTCCCTCCTCGAAGCAGCTCCCTTCTGCAGGCAGGCCTTCTCCTATAGAGGCACTGGATGCCAGTGCCCCGCCCCTAAGCATCCTCCCTTTACCAGACTCCTCCTAAGCCAGTGGGTCCCTGGCAACACGTTTTTCTAATGTTCTCAGGGCCAAAGTGGCAAAATCAAAGGTTCCTGTAATGGCTTCTTCAGCTTTGTTATTTTAACACTGACTTGTTATTCCAGCCTCTGGTCTTGGAAAGGAATTTTTTGCTTTGTTTTTCATTTTCATACAAAAACCCCAATCTGACAGTTTTGCCAAAGAGATAAAAATCTTTTAACAGGTGCAGTTCTGTTGGTCAATCTGCTTTCGACAAGGCTCCATGGTCACAGCTACCCCTACCCCGCTGCGGCCAGAGGTCATATGTGTCACCTCACTCCATGTGTCTGTGGCTGGGTCGTAGCATTCCACGCTGTCCAGAAAGGTGTGTCCATCATATCCACCTGCAAAGGGGACAATATAGCACATATCTGCATCAAGCTAGGGAACAGGGGAGGGAGAGGGGCTGGTATATTAGATCACTACAGCTCATCTTCTTGCTTTCTTTCTCCCCCTCCTTCCCTGCCCAGCCCTACTGGGCTACAAGTAAACAAAACAGATGGGGAAGGGTCTTCACAGGAAGGAAAGGCTGTGCTATTTCCTAATGACTCTTAGGGGACCATGTATATCAGCTACCTGAAGTGTCCCTCCCCTCAGGGTTAAGACTCCTGCCACTTTACCAAGGACATAGATCTTTCCCTGGTGTACAGTGACCCCAAGTGCACTCCGTCGATGTTTCATGGGGGCCACAAAAGTCCAGGTCTCTGTTTCCACATCATATCTTTCCATACTGTTTAATTGGTCGGTGCCATCATAGCCGCCTGTAGCATAGATGCAGTTGTTCAGAGCACAGACCCCTGCATAAACAAACAGACAGGTGGGTGACTCTTAGAATGGAAAACCTGATTCCCTCAGACTCCACGATCCTCCTGCTTAGACTCCTCTCCTTACCTTACAGGGTTAGACAGAACTTGGGAGCGGAGGGAACTAGTGTACTTGCCTGAGGGTCAAGGTTGACCCCCTCTAAGGACTTGACTCTGTCCCTCCTGTGAAGGAGGCAGAGAAGCGACCTGATTAGACAGTCAATGTCTTGCTTATCTCTGCATACCCCAGTGTGTCTGCAGAAGCAAGTCTTGCTCCTGGGAGGCCGTAGCCCTGCCAGACACATAGTAAGGTGCACAATAAATATTTACTGAATGAAATGGTGAGGTCCCTGAGAGGAGCAGAATGATCAGTCTATGGCTCCAGTCTCCCCTCTGACCCAATCCCTGCCCACCTGCCCCACTTCGGATGGTGTTCATAGGTGCGATCATCTGCCATTCATTCCTCTCTGGGTAGTAGCACTCAGCAGAATTGAGGCGGTTTGTCCCATCAAAGCCACCAACTGCATAGAGTAGTCGATTCAGGACAGCCACTCCCACCCCGATCCTTTGTGTCAGCATGGGTGCCACTAAGTGCCATTCATCCCGTTCTGGCTCGTACCTGCAAGGGAAGCAAGGACACAGGGTGGATTTCAACTAAATCTGTCCTTGCAGATGACAGTGGGAGTAGGGTGAATGAAAGGGCCTAGGTTAAAGTCCCTATTGAATTGGGCCAGAAGGCTGGCAGTGCCCTCTTCTTACTTTGGTCATTCTAGCACTGGTCTCCTAAAGCAAGATGGACTAAATTGTAAGGTAATTGATTGTAAATTTCCCCGGGACCTAAATTTCCCATCCTACTAGGAGAAACGAGCAGGGAACGGGCATATTTCATGAACAATTACTAAATATGAAATAATAATGAATTACCCTGTTCCCACTATTGCTCAGATACTGATGACTGCTGCCCTCTCAGATGGTCTCTGCTGTCCTCAAATGCCAACTAACCTTTTGGGGCCTAGTCTCCCATATCTATCTTAGTAGGAGCTACTCTGAGTTTATTCACTGCCCAACACTCACCTCTCCACGCTATTGTGGTGAATGCAGCCATGGGAGCCCCCAACCGCATAGATGAGGCCATCGATGACACCAACACCAATACGATTCCGGGGCACACTCATGGGTGCACAGGGGGACCACTGATTAGTCATAGGATTGTAGCAGTCAAGGGCATTGGAGTCTGTGTTGCCATCTGGGGAATTGTTCCTTCCCCCCACAGCATACAGCAGGCCACCCACCACACAGCCTGCTAGGCCACTTCGGGGCACCTGTAGATCTGCAAGGCGGAGCCAAGTGCCATCACAAGGGTTATAGGCCTCCAGGTAACTCAGTGATTGGCGGAAGTAGCCTCCTGCTGTGTAGATGAGCTGGCCCACCTTGGGTGCCCGGCAGGGCATCACCTGGGTGGGCTTGTGCAGGGTGAGGTCCTGAAAGATCTTAACCAGGTAGTCCTTACAACGTGAATCTGACTGGAGGATCTCACATTTCTGCAGCTGCATTTGCAGGAAGTGGGGAGTGAGGGAATGGCAACGGACAGCACGGAGAAGGGCTTGAATGTAGAAGCGTCGATGCTCGCAGTCATATTTGACCCAATTGATGCAGGCATGGAAGACCTCGGACTCACAGCGCACGTTGAGATCATCCCGGCTGATAAGTGTCACCAGCTGGCAGTGGGACAGGTTAAAGAATTCCTCCTGCTTTGCGACCTGGTAGGGGGGAGGAGAGGTAGTGGGGAACAAGGAGGTTCTCCACTGAAGTCCAAAGTGATGCCCTCCCATCCTCCTGGGATTTGACTACCAGTCAGGAGCTGTGTACTTCCTGCTTTCAGTGGGGCCACCCCTGAGTGGAGACACAGGGAAACAGAATGCCCCCAGCTCCTCCCCAAAGCTCAGGGAGTACTATTAAACAAATGAACAAGTATAAGTAGCAGCCAGACTCCATCAGAATTGCTTTCTCACTCTGACCCTTATACATCTCAACCAGAGGAGTGATGTGTTCTTAGGCACAGGACTAGAGTTTTGTCCAGAAAGTGAATCCTTCACTACCACTACCACCCCCTAACTCACAGGGCACCAAATATATACACACTTACCTCCCCAAAGTGCATATAGATGTACTCCCGGGCACGCTGATGGAGTTCAGCACAGCCAATTTGCTCAGCAAAGTTGGCAATGCCAATGGCATTGCTGGGGTCCAGCTGCTGCACCAAAAAGTCACTGCAGGCCCGCACTACACTGTCAATCTGGTACATGACAGCCCCATTCATCAAATTCAGCACACATTTCTCCCCCATGGAGATGGAGGCAGTGTAGGCAAATTCTATGAGTCGTTCCATCACCATGGGGTGGATGCCCTCAATAGACACCACTTCCATGCCCTGCTCCCGCAACCCATTGGTGAACATGGCCTTGAAAACTGGGCTGGAGGAGGCGAGTACCACCTTGTGAGCCACAAATTGGGCAGCAGGCTTATTCTCATATTTGACCTCCAGAGTAATATCACATAGCTGCTGGCTGAGCCGAAGCTCATTCATGATGCCAAAGGCCTGTTTGGTGTGGTCCTCTAAGGTATAGCTGAAGGTCCGGTTGCCATGCTGGGAGGGTGTCACCTCCGCCTTGCACTCCGTGGCATACATCACCGCATAGCTGGCCCCCCCAGGGCGTTGAGATAGAAGGGGGAGAGAATGGGCACGGGGAACACCCCTGCTATGCCCAGACACTGGCTTCATCAGCCTCTAGAAAAACACTGCCACCGCCTGGAATCAGGTACCTGGGAGTGAGGGTGAGGGGATGGTGATCAGGCCCTAGATGTCAGTCCTGGTGGGGAGAACCCACTCCTCCGTGGGCTTCCTTTTCTCTCCTGGGGGAACTACAAATTCTCCTTTGCTAAGAAGACTATCCCAGGGGATGGCAGCCCAGCCTCTCCTCCACCCTAGGTACTCAGAGTGCCAGCCTAAAAATGAGCCCTATCATTTGTCAGCTGGCACTCCAAGTAGCAATCCTAACTGGAGTGGAACCTCCTTCAAATGAGATAACCTGTTTGCAAAACTTTGCAAAACTTCAAAGAGATATATAAATACTATTAATAATAATTATATTCTCCAGCCAGACCACTCCTGGTTGAGGCCTCTCTGGTCTAGGTCTGAGCCTTGAAAAGACCTCAGAAGTCATCCAATTCAACCTCCTCATTTTAAAGATGAGGAAGCTGAGTATATGAGAAGTTAAGTGACTTCGCACAGGTCAGGTGGTAAGAGATGGAATTCAAAACCAGTTCCTGTGACTTCAAACTCAGTGCTCCACGTGCAAAACGCAATATTTGAGAGTTACTGTTCTGTTTAAATAGTAGACACCCACATCCCTACCGGGTGCCCCCTAAATTACCTAATTTGTATGACATTGCATCCCATGGCTATTCCTTGGGCCCCTTAAGTAAAAATTCCCGTTCCAGCTCCTGTCCTGCTATTTCAGGGCATGGGGGGCTCCCTCCGTCCCCCTGCTTTGTATTATCCCTGGCCCAGCCCTGGTTGGAGGAAGGCAGTGGTGGGCTCCGGGTGGGGAAGCCCCGGCTCGCAGCCGGGCGGGACCGCTTCCTAGCTACGTGACGTCGGAGCTCGCGCTCCCTCCTTTCCCGAGCCTCCCCATCCCCCCCCTCCTTCCCGGGCCGCTGGGAGGCTCAAAGGGCACAAAGCCTGGGAAGCCGCACAAATGTCAGATGTGCGGGACTACGGCGGCCGGGGCCGGGACAGGAACCGGCCCGAGGCCCGGGGCGGCACAATGGCTGCGCACCTACTTCCTGCCCCGACCCGGCCTGCATGCGACGGGCTCTGCGGACCCTGGGGCCGCCCGGGTGGGACCCCGGCCCTTCCAGCGCCGGGCCGCCGGGCCCCAGAACCCGCCCTCTGAAGGGGCGAGACCCCCGCGGGCGGGGAAGGCCGGGCCGCCCGGGGAAACAAAGCGGAGCCGGCCCGGGGGGAAGGGCGGAGGGGGACGGGGCCGGGCCTCCCCGCGACAGGCGCGCCCCTCTCTCCGCACCCGCCTCCGCCCGCGCCGCCAGGTGGGCCCCGGGCTGCAGAGAGGGGCCCAGGCCCCCCACTCCGAGCCCCCCCCAGCGGCCTTCCCCCCGGCCCGGCGCCAGAGCCCGAACCCGGGCCGGCAGCGGGGCCTCGGGCTCCCCAGAACGCCGCAGCCCTCCCCGGCCCCGGCTCGGGGCAGCTCTCCCACCGGCCGCGGACTGCTGCGGCCCAGTGGGCCCGAGCTGAGCGGACGCGTTACTCACCCAGCCACGGCCGCACTCCTGCTCCTCCTCCGCCGCCTCCGCCTCCCGGGCTCGGGCGCCTCCATCGCGGCGCGCGGGGCGGGGGGGGGCTGGGGGGGAGGGGGAAAGCGGTGGAAGGGAGATGGGGGAGGAGAAGGGGCGGGGCGAGGGGGAGGATAAAGTCATCATGACTAAGCAGACCGCGCGCCCCGGTCTTGTCAAAATAAGAGTCCCTTGAGCCACCACCCGGCTTTTGGCCAACGGGGTCGCCAACAACCGGGTCGGGGAGCCAGCGCAGGGAGGAGGGGGAAGGGAGACACACTTGGCATTTCTTCCCGAGAAAGAGTAGGCAGGCAGGGCTGGGCGGGGGGAGCCCTGTTCCCACCTCTTTCCCCTCCCAAAGTGCGAAGGAAAGCGCGGAGAGCGGAGCTACTTCGTGCGCCCGGCGGCGGAGGCGGGGCATGGGGGGGGCCTGACGCCCTGAAGTCGGCCTCCCCTGGGCCACCTTACCGCAAGCCTCTCCCGGAAGCCCTGGGCATGATGCGACCTCGGCTCGGGCTTCATGGGCCCCTGGTCGCAGGACTCACCACAAGCTCTCGGGAACGTCCGACTTTGCCTCTTGGACCAACACCAGTGGCCCAGTTTGTCCGTGACTCACCACCCCGGCGCCAGAACGAGGCCTTGTGCCTGGCAAACCCGATGCTTTCAGTGCCTAGCCCGCCCCTCCTTCTAGGCTGCCGCAGCTAAGCTCAGCTTCACTTGACCCCCTCTCCTCCGGCCACCTGAAGCCAGGCCTTTGCCTTTCCTAGGCCGGGCGTAGAGAGTGATGGAGGAGCCCAGAGCACGTGCTGTTTACCACCGCCACCGAGGCACCTGTCCACACTCACCGAGGCTTGAACTTTTGGAGAAAAACGACAGTTCCACCCCGCCCCCATCCCCCAAACACACCTAGGAGGGAGGGAGAAAGGAGAAGGAAGGAGAGGGCGACTCCTCTCCCTGCCCTGCGGGTGCCTCTAGCTCCTGCCCAGACGGGAGGGGCGGGGATGTCCCAGATTAGGGGTCAAAGTCCCCTGGAGCTGAGCGTCTGTCTCTCTACTCCCTCCCTCTTCGAAGCCTCCCTCTGTATCTATGATAGGAAGTATATTGAAGACTTGAGAACCAAAGGATCCATGGGACGCTGCTGGCTGGGAACGGAAAGCATAGGTGTGAGGAACGGCCTCCTTGAAAGCACTAACCTGGCTGCGGCCGCAGCAGGACCACTGTAAATCCGAGGGTCTAAATCTGAGCGGCGTCAGAGGAAGATCACAGGGTCCCAAAGCATTAAAAGCGGCCGCTTGAGATTAGAGGAAGGAATTTGAGATAATCAAGGCCAGAGACGTACATGGGATAGATCTTGAAATAACTAAAACTTGGAATCCAAAGAGAGGTTGAGACCCGAGCCAAGATGCAACTCAAATTCTCCCCGCAGATCTCTGGGTTTCAGCCCCCTTAACAAAGCTATCTGGGTCCTCTGCAGTTCCGGGGGCTACCGGGAGGTGGAGGCACGCCGACATAGTCGGCTAGGGCAGCAAAGTGTTGATCAGATTTAGGACCGGAGACCCCAAGCTCAGAGCTATGCAATCACCTCTCGATCTACCACGCCCCCATCCCTCTTCCGCGGTGCCCCAAGCGGGCCATCCCGGGGTCAAGAAAGCTCCATCTCAGAAGGGTAGGGGACTGATTGCGGTAGAGCTTTTAGGTCTTATTTTATGGAAAAAATAAGAGCAACATTTGGATTCGGGTTAAGGTATGCACAGGTCATCCAGGGATGAGATGGAGCAGCAGAGATTTTCCCATAAGCCCTAACCCCAGCAAAGAGATTGGGTCTTTGGCAAGGGCTCCTCCCCTTTCTTGCTTATGTAGGCAGCTAATTCTGTATCCCATGCAGTGAAGGCTAACGGAACTGGATTAATACTAACGACTCAGGGTTTTCCTAATGGGGACTTCAGATTTCCAGCCCACGGTCTCCTCGCTGAGGTGTGTCCGCTCCCCGATATTCAGATGTTATAATACAAATTACTTTATTTTTAAAACAACAACAAAAACAACCAATAATCTGAAAATAGTGCAGGAGGAGAGGACTGGGTCCTGGAGAGGGGCTGGGGAATAAAGTGTCAGTCTGTGGTCTTCCGCACCGAGGTCTTAACTGGAGTGCGCGTGGGCGTGGCGTTGCTTGTGGAGACGCTGGTGTCCAACCCTTCTTGTCGGTTCGAGGAGCGCTCCGACTTGCTGGTGCTGCACTCCAGGATGGGCGGTAGCCGGAGGCGCACGCTGACCCCACCCTCACCACCTGGTCCTGAGCCTAGGGGCCTATAGCAGCAGCAGCAGCAGCACCGATAACAGCAGAAGAGGCGCAGGAGTGCACGGCGCAGGTCCCGGCTAGTAAGCGTGTAGATGATGGGATTGAGCAGTGAATTGGCCATAGCTAGCCCCAGGAAGTAGTCCGCCTGCAGGAGTACTGGGCAGGCTCGAGCGGGGCATGCTACATCCAGCAGCAGCAGCAAGAAGAGTGGTCCCCAACACACGATGAACGCCAGCAGTACCACGTAACCGTGCGCAACAGCGCCAAAGACTTGGGCAGGCGGCGGGACCCTCCCGATGCAGCCCGAAGCTGCAACTTCTTTGCGTTGGCACGCACCTGATAATAGATGCGGGCATAGAGCGCAAAGATAGCCACAAGGATGACTAGGAAGGCAAGCACGCAGAAAAGCACATAAGGCTTGGCATAGAGGGGAAGCACTGTGGAGCACTGGGCCAAGCGGCCTAGGCAATTCCAGCCGAGGCTAGGAAGAAGCCCAAGCAGCAGGGACGCCAGCCACGCGGCCCCCGCCAGCAGCAGTGTGCGGCCCCGCCGGTGTATGGGCGCCGGGCGCCGGCTTGCCATGGTCAGGTGTCGCTCCAGCGCTATGGCTAGCAGGCTGAGCACTGAGGCAGCCAGTGTCACGAAGACACCGCCCTCTCGGGCGAACCAGAGAGCGGGCGAGAGGTGCAAGGTGCGGGCCCCAGACAACAGGATGTTGACAGTGTAGGCGGCCCCGGCCAGTAGGTCGGAGAGGGTCAAGCTGCCCAGAAGCAGGTACATGGGCGCGTGGAACTTCTTGTGGCGGCAGAGGACTAGCAGAACCGCCAAGTTCTCCAGGACGATGAGGCCACACACTGCCAGGAAGACTGCAGCATCTGCGCGCAAGCCCCCGCCTGGATCGTAGCGTGCCCCGTTCAGTTTGCCGGTGTAGTTGTAGTGCAGTGCGATCACCTCACTCCCCAGTACAGCCTGGAGCGCCGGAGGCGGCTCCATGGTGGCCTAATTTCCCACCTTCTCTTCGTGGTTCTTTGCCTCTTGAGGCGCTTCACCGATGGGTGGCTACATCACCATACTGGGCACTGGGAAAGAAACCGTTCACAGGCCCGAGGCCCCGTTCTGGGTCCCAATCCTGCTGGAGAAGGAAGAGGACCTAGTCAGTGGCAGAGTCCTCCTCAGGGCCGAGCCTCTAGAGATTCCAGCTCCCCAGGGTCCCTCTTCCTTCCACCCTTTCCCTTCCCCTCAGATTCCTGAGCCCTGGGGGTTACGACCACTTCCTCCAGAAAGCCTTTGGAGTAGCAGGATCGAGAGGCAGCTTTTCCCCCTTTTCCCATTCTGGGAACCCAGCCAGCCCAGAAAAGAGACCGCATGAACTGCCTGTGCTTGGCAGGGATAAGGTCCGAGATGCCCTTGGGGTCATTGTGCCCCACTCTGGGGCAGAAGCTGGTGCAGCTTTCCCTAGAGTTAGGCTAGAGTGAGGAGGCTGAAGGGGTGAGTGGGCTTAGCCCTTGGCAAAGACCTCGAAGACAGCTCCAGAATGATGAGGAGCAGTGGGGGAGGTTCCAGGGAGGGGATGAGTTGTGACCTCCGGGCCAGGAACCAGGCAGGCACCGGAGCTGGGCCAAACCAGTGGGGCGGGAGACAGATTGTCCCAGAACTCCTAGACACGCACAAACACAGAAGCCACACACACAAGTAGAGTTGCACAGGCAGGCACAGATTCACAGACATAATGCAATTACGCATACACAAATGAGGAGACACGCACATCCACAGGCTTAGGGTTACACATGTGGACAGCTACAGATTCACAGATACACAACAGTCTCCGAATCACTGAATTTCAGAGTTGGAAAGGACGTTAGAGACCATCTAAATCAACCCTTAACTGAAAAAGGATCCCCCCTCCACTCCACCCCAGTATGCCATCCAGCCTCCAGACTGAAACACAAAAGTAGAATCACAGGCAAACAGACACACAGCTCAGTCACACACATTCACAGAATTACACATGTTACACAGTCACAAATCTAAAAATGCATAGAGCTTGCTGCTGATGGGAGAAATCCCTGGGCTGGGAGCTCGAGCTATTGCTGGAGCTGGGTCAGGAAATATTGCAGAGAACTTCAATGTCCACTGGCCTCCCTGGACCAGCCTGCAGCGAAACCTGCAGCTCTGCAGGAAAGGGATGGGAGAGGCTTGCAAGTGGGGGAATTCTTATACTACCCCTGTTTCTCTCTCCACACTTCCACCACTCTCCATTCCCCTAAGCCGAGATGGCTGGGTTTTCCCTGAGCTGACGCTGAGGTTTCTCTTTTTCGGAAATGCCAGGGAAGTCCCTGGAGAGGTGAGCTGGGGGCCTCGGTGAGGACTGGCACGCCGGGCTGCTTTCTTCCTTGACCATGTTCAAGGTAAGTGGGGAGAGGGGCTACACGATAATAGTCTTGTTCCAGGGATTCTGTGCCCTGTGTCGGGCATCTTGAAGGTCTCCGGGACAGCAGCTGCTATGGCTGGGGGACAAAGCCCTCACAGCCATCTCTTGTGCAACAACAACCCCAGTAGACAGCCCTTGGTTTTGTGGCAGCTGCCTGCTCAGAGGGCCAAGTGCTGTGAGAACTCAACCCAGGATCCCGCCCGCTGCTTCCCTCTCCCAGTCGCACGCGCGTCGCATAGACCACAAAAGCACTTCAGGGCCTGGTGCTGAGCCGGCTCTAGGATCTCGAACCCAGATCCCACTACCCCGCCTTGCCTAGCCCGAGACGGGGTCCCCAGCTTCCCGCACTCACCCTGCGGCTTCGGCTATAACGAGCCGCGCTTTCCCGAGCCTACTGAAGCGCGTTCCTCCTCCAGAGTTGTGGCCGCATCAGGCTGGGCGGGGAGAAGCGAGGCCTGGGCGGGCTAGGATCAGACCTGGGTGCGGGCCAGGGGGCGGGGGCTGAGCTGTTCCCAGAGGGGGAGGCAGGATCCATCCCGGCTTCTGGGCGGTTAGGGATCAGCTGGCCTCCCTCAGACCTGGTGGGATTTACTCCCACAACTACTAGCTTGCACTACCCGCGCCCTGGGTCCTGCTCCCTACCAGGCGTCCCTGGTCCAACTGATGCGTCCGGACTGGGATATGCTCCAGAGAAGGAACACCAAGCGCAAAGCAATACATTTCATCCAGCACTACCTGAGTGCCTACTGGCGGTCAGGAGTGCCGCGCTCGGGGTGCCCCTACATGTACACTTTAATCTAGCCTAGGTCCCTTCGCTCAGTCTAACACGCCTACACCGATGAGCAGAATACATCTGGACTGGGGTGACGGCGTGGAGCGTAGAGTGAAGTGGCAAGGAGGCACCTGGCTCCGAGGGAACTTGCACATAGTAGACGCTTTTAATGAGCGCCTAATTAAGTGAACAAGGCAGAGAGGGGCAGACGAGGGCGAGACTTGAAGGACTGGAGTGACGATTGGAGAGAGGGAGTCAACAATAAGGAGAAGGAACCTCATTTCCCGCCGGACACTGACAGCCCCGCCGCCCCAACCCTTCCCTCCAAGCATCCTCAGTGGCAGCCGATAGACACCAGAAGACTCCCCCCCCGAGAGAGAGAGAGAGAGAGAGAGAGAGAGAGAGAGAGAGAGAGAGAGAGAGAGAGAGAGAGAGAGAGAGAGAGAAACAAAGAGGCGGACGAACACGGAGACAGAGTTGGAGAACTCTATAGACACAGACTGGGACAAAGACATACTTACAGTCAGGCTCACGGTCACAGGATGGTTTTGTTTCTCAGGGCCAGGAAGCGGCTGCCCCTCAGCTCCCCTGGGGCTTGCTGGGCTGGGAGGATGGGCTTTAATTCCTGTGGGGACCTTTCCCCTAGTCAGCCGCCTCTCTCCTCTGAGGCAGTCTGACTCTCACGAACTATGCCGCCCCCTCCTGAAGGCCCGCCTGCTGTATGTCCGGAGGCCTCTCCTGCCTTTGAACCTCCCCTTCTGCCCCGACCAATTCCCTTAGCCTGGCCCCCTCCTCCCTAATTTCCAGGCAGCACTCGACCCCTATCCCTAGTCCTGCTCCAGGGTTCTGGGACTGCTATCTCAATCTAATCCAATCCATTCCAATCCAATCTGCATTTATAAAACGCTTATTATGTGCAAGGCAGTATGCTAGGCTCAGAGCCTTTCCTAACTGCTCCCGCCTACCTTAGACTGAGGGGGTGGATGGGATGGGGTGAGCTGTGGCTGCCACCAAGGGCAGTGCCCTTTGCCCCTCCTGGAAAATTGTGGCAGCTGAAGAATAAGGTGTAGGAGGTGGGGTTTAAAACCAGAGTGGATAAAAAGGACATTGCGTTGGTGACTGAAGATTTGTAAAGTGTTTGCATACATTATCTTTGATCCTCAAGTCCTATGAGATAAGTAGTATGAGTAGTAGTATTATTCCCGTTTTACATATGTGAAAATTGGGGCTCATGTAGATTAAAGGATTTGCCTTTGGTCACAGGTAAGAGCCATAAGCAAAATTTGAAGCTGGGCCTTACCTGACCTATCATTCTGCCTCTGAGAGATGGCCAATACCACAACCTCTAAGAGCTGAATAGAAGCTCAGGGGCCATTTAATCTAACTGGCCCAGAGCAGGAATCCCCTTGACAACATTAATCAGTCGGGGCAGCTAGGTGGCGCAGTGGATAGAGCACTGGCCTTGGAGTCAGGAGGACCTGAGTCCAAATTCGACCTCAGACTCTTGACAATTACTAATTGTGTGACCCTGGGCAAGTCACTTAACCCCCACTGCCTCACCAAGGAGCAAAAAAAAAAAACCCAAAAAACAAACAACAACATTAATTAGTCAATCAACTATGTGTCAAGAACTGTGCTAAGTGATGGGGGGCAACACAATGAATGAGTAAATGAATGAGTGAATAAATGAGGAAATTAAGTTATTTGTTAAGTGCTTACTATGCTAAATAATGAGGATACAAATAGAAAAGAGCTTAAAGTCTAATGGGAGAGGCAATATGTATACAGAATATATGTAAAATGAACACAAGTCAGTTTGGAGAGAGATTACACTAGAACTGAGGGGAGGGGGATTGGTAAAGAGACAAGAAAAGATTTCATGAAGAATGTAATGCTTGATCTGAGTCTTAAAGGAAACCAGGAATTCTAGAAGGTAATGGTTGGAAGGGAGTGCACTTGGCTTTGTGAGAGATCCAGCGCAAAGGAATAGTGATTGGCCAGTATGGCTGGATTGCAGAGTGCCAGGAGGGGAGTAAAGTGTAAGAAGGTTACAAAGAGTTTTACGTGTCAAAAAAGAGGAATTTATATTGGATCCTAGGAAGTCATTGGGATTTATGGAGTTGTGAGGTGATATGTGTTTTATTGAAGACCTAAAGTGATGGGGAACTCAAAAACTCCCAAGGCAATCTGTTGGCTTGGAGACAATGTTTAAAAAAATTTCCTTGTGGGGGAGATGCTGAAGAGCAGGAAAGAATTTGAAACTCAAAAATAAAAAAAAAAAGAATGTTAAAAAATAAATAATGAGATTGTAAAATAACCAAAAAAGTAAAACTGGAAAAAACTTTAAATGTTTAAATGTATGTCTGAACAAATTTTGTCTTTCTGCAACTTCTGCTCATTGGCCATTTTTAAGCGAGGGAGGCGAAAAGTTACCAGCCTCACTTTTCTCCAAAGCAATCTGGGTTGGCAAGATATAGATCATTATGAGTGGAGATGGCCCTGAATGCAATGGGAGACCTTGACCTGTTAAAGCTAAGGTCTTTAACAGGTCTTGGTTTGACTGAGGCAATGTCCATTTAGTGATTAAGGCTAGATAAGAAGTGAAGCAGAAAATGGCCTCTTTGACCTAGTTAAAAAATTAAAAAAAAAATAATCTGGAAGGGGAAGACCCTTAGGGTTTCTGGCCAAAACAGAAACAATTGCTATTTATGTTCACCCTGAGCCAATCTGGACCCAAACACAGACCAAGTGACTTTGCACAGCCCTCCCTCACTTAAATCCAAGTCACTTTCATGCCATGGCATCACCTCCCGGAAGTTATGGTGCTCTTTGAAAATGAAGGATAAACAACAAGCTCATTGACCATAGTTCTTTCTTCTGGGGTCCAAGAAGAACAAGTCTGATCTTTTGTCTATGTGGCAATCCTTCAGATACTTGAAGTCAGATATCATCTCCAGTCTGTGTCCCCAGTTCCATCAACCAATCCTCTATAACATATTACATGGTCCCATCAATAACCTGTTCTCCCTCCTCTGGACCTGCATCAGCTTCACAGAAATCACAAAATTTGAGTTGGAAGAAATGCCAGGGCCCAGTGATTCCAACCCATGCTTTACTAAGTCTCATATTTGCTACACCAGACACGAATCATCCAGTGAAGATCTCCAGTGAAGGAGAACCTAATTTCTGCTGAGGCAACTCATTCCACTTTTGGGCAGCTCTATCGGCTAGAAAGATTTTCCATACATCAAGCCAAAATCGACTTCTTTGAAACTTGACCTTTTTCTACCCTTTGGGGCCAAATAGAACAAGTCTAATCCTTTCACATGACAGCCTTTCAAATATTTGAAGACAGTTATCGTTTTCTCCTAATTCTTCTCTTCTGCAGGATAAGCATTTCTAATTCTTTCAAATAATCCTGTTAAGACTAGGGCCTCTACCATTTTGATCACTCTCTGACTTACCAATATCCTTCCTAAAATGTGCTGCCCAGAATGGAACACAATATTCTAGATATAGTATGACTAGGGCAGAATACAGCAGGATCATAATAGAATATTAGAATCGGAAGGGACCTTAGAGGACTATTGAGCCTTCCCCTTCATTTTACAGATGAGGAAACTGAGACTCAGAGAAGGGAGACTGCTTATCCAAAGTCACAAAGTCTTTGGTGGGGCTAGAATGCAAACTCAGGTCTTCAAGCTCCAAATTCAGTGTTTTTTCAACTCTATTTTCTCCATAGTGGGGGAGGGGGGCCTTTGAGAGTGGGAACTGTGTCTTCCCTCTCCAGCTAATGGAGTAAATAGGTCATCCATAATTAATTATATGGTTAGGGCCTAGAGAGGAAAATATTTGGAGCAGCCATCATGAGGTGTTGATATGAGTAAAATAGGATTGTTAAGCAGAAGTAAGAGCCCAAATAAGATGATAGAATTTGGAAATAATGCTGGAGGAATTGTAGGAAGAGAGGTGTCCTAATATACCATTAGTAGTTAATTTATCCAGCTGTTCTAGAATATAATCCAGAATTATGACAGAAGAGTCACTAAACTGTTCATATCCTTTAACCCAGGAATTCCATTATGAGGCATATACCCCAAGGAGACAAATGAACCAAATTAATGTATGAATGAAGCATTTTAAAAGTGATTATTATATGCAAAGCACTGTGCTAAGTGCTAGGAACACATATAGAAAAGTATGACAGTCCCTTCTCTGAAGGGGCTCACACTCTAGTGGAGAAGACAGCACACATGGAAGGTTTTTAGCAAGTAAGAGGGAAAGGTCCCATGGTCCTTAGGGCTAAGCAGCAAAGAAGAGATGAATCTTTCTTCTTTAGTGTCATTTCCACTGATCAAGTCATATCAGTCTGTGATGGTAAACTGCTTGACAGGGCCAAAGTCTTTGGTGAAAAGTAGCTGTTCGGTAGCTGGTTGCTGTAGATTCTGCAGGGGCCAGATGCGAGGCTGCATCTCCACAGGGTCTATCTCGTCTATCTCCCAGGCTGATGGCCGAGGGCACCAGGCTGGAAGCTTTGCTTCTCAAGCCTCTTGGGTTCATGGTCCTGGACGATGACAGGAAGAAATATCCTCTAATAACAAAACATTTGTACTAGCACTTTTTTTTTCCAATAGCAAAAAACCCCCAAACAAACAAAAAACTGTTAAGTCAGTGTCCATCAGTTGG